CCACTTCCGGCTTTATTCTTTTTTGCTTATGTGGTGCTGAGGAATCGAACCCAGGGCCTCGAGCATGCAAGGCAAGTGCTCTACCACTGAGCCACCTTCCCAGCCCTGGTGTTGCTTTCTTAAGGAACATCTTATGTTGCAGAATAATAATTTTTTTTCCTATATACACAAAGGACAGAGTGGATTTGTTTGTGAAAATGAAAGTGATCTGACTTCCCAAATTTGTGCCCTACATTAGAACCATTTCTTGCTCATATAGTCCTGGCTGACTCTTTTGTATTTTATTTCTTAGGTTCCCTTGCAAGCTCCATTTTTGATCCCCTTAAGTCTCTTGTGGGTGCTTCAGGAGGAGTCTATGCCCTGATGGGGGGATATTTCATGAATGTTCTAGTGGTAAGAACTCTTAACCTATCAATATTTATTGACCATCCTTCCTTTTTTTCTCCCTCCCTCCCTCCTTCCCTCCCTCCTTCCCTCCCTCCCTCCCTCCTTCCCTCCTTCCCTTCTTCCTTCCCTTCCTCCCTCCCTCTCTCCCCCCTTTGGTTGTTGGTTCTTGGAATTCTGGGCCTCATATTCTTGCTTAGTTTTTCTTTTTTTCATTTTTTTCTGCAAGACTAGCTCTCTACTATTTGACCCACCAGTTTTTTGGTGGTCAATTGGAGATGATTCTTTTAAAGTTGTCTGCTGGCCTCACTTCAAACCGTGATCCTTAGATCTGAGCTTCCTGAGCAGCTAAGATTATAGGTGTGGGTCACTAGCACCTGGCACCATTCACCTTCTGAGAAATGTATAACCAGAGCTTACCATTCATATTTTATCTTTTTTTTTTTTTGCCAGTCTTGGGGCTTGAACTCAGGGCCTAGGCACTGTGCCTGAGCTTCTTTTGCTCAAGGCTAGCACTCTACCACTTGAACCACAGCACGACTTTCAGTTTTTTCTGTTTATGTGGTACTGAGGAGTCAAACCCAGGGCTTCATGCACAGGCAAGCAGTCTACCACTAAGGCACATTCCCAGCCCACAGCTCCACTTTTTTTGATAGTTAATTGGAGATAAGAGTCTCAGGAGCAGGGCTGGGAAGATGGCTCAGTGGTAGAGTGCTTGCCTTGCATGCTTGAGGCCCTGGGTTCAATTCCTCAGCACAACATAAGCAGAAAAAGCCGGAAGTGGTGCTATGGCTCAAGTGATAGAGTGTAAGCCTTGAGCTGAAGGGACAGCGCCCAGGCCCAGAGTTCAGGCCCACAACCGACAAAAAAAAAAAAAAAAGAGTCTCAGGAGCTTTCCTGCATAGGCTGGATTTGAACTGTGGTTCTCAAGTTTCAGTTTCCTGAGTAGGATTATAGGCACCAGTCACTGTGCTTGGCGTTGGGTCATTCATACTACAGACCTAAATGTCAGGTTTTACTTGTTGTCTAAATGCACCATCACTTTACATACTTCCTACCTACCTTTGAAGCTGTTTAAACCCAACTGTTTTTAAATAGTTGACATTGAAAAAATTGTGCTAAATTAAAAAAAGCAGGTGAGGAAGGAGTAGAGTTAGGGTTTCATTTGCTAATGGGTAGCTTATATTCTCATTTATTTCTTTGCTAGAATTTTCGAGAAATGATTCCTGCCTTTGGGATTGTCAGACTCATCATCATCATCCTTATAAGTAAGTGAGTTTTTTTAATCCTTTACATCTTTGATTTTATCCATTCAACCTAAACATTACCATGGCAGCTTCTCTTAGGCAGGAAGGAGTAGGTAGAAGAGTTTCATGGACCCTCAGGTGAGGTTTTTACATGTACCTCTGTGATTCCTTCCTTCCTCCTCCTCCTCCTCCTCTTCCTTCTTCTTCTTCTTCTCCTTCTCCTTCTCCCTTCTTCTTTCTTTCTCTCTCCCTTCCTTCCTTCCTTCCTTCCCTCCCTTTCCTTTCCTTTTCTTTTTTGTCAGTCATGGGGCCTGAACTCTGGGCCTGGGCACTGTCCCTGAGCTCTTCAGCTCAAGGCTAGTGCTCTACCACTTGAGCTACAGCGCCACTTCTGGCTTTTTCTGCTTATGTGGTACTGAAGAATTGAATACAAGGCCTCATGCATGCAAGGCAGGTACTCTACCACTGAGCCACCTTCCCAGCCCTGATTTCTTTCTTTTCTTTTTCTTTTTTTTTTTTGGTCAGTCCTGGGGCTTGAACTTGGCCTGGTGCTATCCTTGAGCTCTTCAGCTCAAAGCAAGCACTCAACCACTTGAGCCACAGAACCACTTCTGGTTTTCTGGTGATTAATTGGAGAGAAGAGTCCTGTCTGGGCTGGCTTTGAATCGTGATCCTCAGATCTCAGCATCCTGAGGAGCTAGGATTACAGGTGTGAGCTACTAGTGCCTGGCTTCTCTGATTTCTTTCTTTCTTTCTTTCTTTTTTTTGCCAGTCATGGGGCCTGAACTCTGGGCCTGGGCGCTGTCCTTCAGCTCTTCAGCTCTACCACTTGAGCCACAGTGCCACTTCTGGCCTTTTCTGTTTATGTGGTGCTGGGGAATTAAAACCAGGGCCTCATGCAAGCACTGAGGCAAGCACTCTATCACTGAGCCAGCCCCTTGTCTCTTTTGTTTCTGTAATGGAAAAGGCCAAGACTGCAGAGCTCCCCACTTCAACCTTAGCTTCACATATGTTTTATGTACCAGAATTGCTCTTTCAGATATTAGGAACTGAATATGATTTTATCTGCAAAGGGAAAGCTTAGCAACTGCTGAGATAATCTCTCCATTTCTAAAATTTTAGATGAAAAAGAACTGATACAGATATGGGTAGCTATAGATTGGAGAAGCAAGTCAAAGAACACAAAGGCCCAAAAGGAAGAGTGTGGCTAACGTGGTATGTGTGTGTGTGTGTGTGTGTGTGTGAGGGGTGGGGGAGAATACCAGTGCTGTGCTTGAACTCAAAATCTTATGCTTTTGCTTAGCTTTTTGCTCAAGACTAGCATTCTACCATGTGAGCCACACCTCTATTTCTTGGCTTTTTGCTGGTTAGAGAGAAAGAGTCTCATGGGGGGTTGGAGGCATGGCTCAGCTGGTAGAACACCAGCCAATGATAGAAAGCATCAGATACTATGTGTTCAAGTCTTGGTTTCAGACAAAAAAAAAAAAGTCTTATGGGCTTTTATGACTGGGTTGGCTTTGAACTGTGATTCTTAGATCTCATGTTCCTGAGTAGCCAAAATTTCAGATAGGAGTCAGCAGTACCTGGTCCTAACATGGCTTTTTCCGCCAAGGACTTAACTTGGCCTGGGTGCTATCCTTGAGCTCTTCAGCTCAAGACAAGTGCTCTACCACTTGAGCCACAGTGCCATTCCTGCTTTTTTGGTGGTTAATTGGAACTAAGAGTCTCACGGACTTTCCTGCCTGGGCTGGTGTTGAACCACGATCCTCAGATCTCAACCTTCTGAGTAGTTAGGATTATAGGCATGAGCCACCAGTACCCGGCCTAACATCGGTTTTAAAATCTCCAAGAATTCAAGAATTATCTGCTTTGGGTGTTCAGGAAGAATGTTCCATCTGGAGAGGAGCTAGAAATGTGGCCAAGTCTGAAAGGAAACAGAAGTGATAGCAGGCCATATGATGTGGAAAAAAACAAGGGCAAAGACTTGGGTGGTAACTTGGGTTTAGGGACCAGCTTCAGGTGGAGCTATATCTGTTTCTTGGGTTCCAGATGTTCTTTGGTTCCTGGATACCAAATTTAGGTAAGATGGTGAGTTACATGCCTGTATGGAAGCTGTCAGGGTTGGGAATTTTATTCAATAGGGTGAATTACTAGATGGTGCAAACCTGAGATCTCCACAAATGGTTTGATGTCTAAGCAGTGGCTGGCCCTTTCTGGTTTTTGGGCGTATCCTTCATGGGATCTAAGGCCATCTGTCAATGGTTGGTCCTGGATGTGGGCTCTCTGGGGCTTTAGAATGTAATTTTGTAGCTTGGGAAGTTTGGAGAGGAAGACAGATCCTGGATCAGACTTGAGAGTCAAGGCAGCCATCACACTTGGTAAAACCTAAGATTCTTGGTATTAGAGTTTAATTATCTAACATTACTGAAACAGAGCCAAGTGGGAAGAGCCAATTAATGGTAAAGGCACTAAATTTATTCTGAGATAAAATAACTCACTTGTTTATAACATGCTGTGGATCATTCACACCCCTTCCCCCAAAGAAATCAAGAAGGCAAAGGAAAATTGTCAGCAGAGAAAGGAGAGCATGAGTTATTGAGAGTCACAACCAGTGCTGGGGATTGGGTCAGTCATTGCTCAGTAGTAGAACTTGCCCAACATGTGACAGGACCTGGGAAAGATCCTCAGCACTTCCACAACCAGAACCAAGGACCACAAAAAAATATGGTCATATGTTACCTGAGACTGGTCTTCGCCTGGTAGGATAAGTGTTGCATCTCTCTCTCCTCTCTCTCTGTTTCTCTCTATATATTTTTTTCACCAGTCCTGGGGCCTGAACTCAGGGCTTGGGCACTATCCTTGAGCTTCTTTTACTCAAGGTTAACACAGTGCCCCTTCCAGCTTTTCCTGTGTTATGTGGTACTGAGGAATCGAACCCAGGGCTTCATGCATGCTAGGCAAGCACTCTACCACTAAACCATATTCCCTGTCCCTCCCTTTCTATTTTATAGGTCATAGAGCTTGAACTCAGGGACTGGGCACTGTCTGAGCTTTTGTGCTCGAGGCTAGTGCTCTACCACTTTGAGCCACAGCTCTACTTCTGGTTTTCTGGTAGTTAACTGGAGATAAGAGTCTCATGGACTTTCCTGCCCACGCTGGTATCTAACCCTGATCCTCAGTTCTCAGCCTCCTGAATAGCTAGGATTACAGGTATGAGCCACCAGTGCCTGGAATGCATTGCATCTTTAGTGGGGAAATGATTGGAGTAAAAACCCTTTCCTCATGCACAAGGTATTGACAAAATGTTTATATATTATTACGTCATTAAGACAAGTACTAAAATCACTGAATGATGCTCTTTATTATGCCCTACAGAAACCTCAGGGAGTTCATAGGCTATGCTAATGCTAACCTTCTTCAATTCCTGGCATATGTCATTTCCACATTCCTTGACCCAAGAAGGAGAACAGTTAAATATATACCAGGGGTGAGTTGGGGGTATGGCCCAAGTGATAGAACCCCTTCCTGCCAAGCAATCATGAAACCTGAGTTCAAACTCCAGTGTCCCCTGTGCCCCAACTCCCCACCAAATTAATAAAATACTAATTAATATAAATACATTTCCATATATATATGTACTATTTATTTATTTATTCATTTAGACAGGGTCTTGCTATGTAGCCCAAGCAAAAGCCTCAGTCTCTAGAGTGCTAAGATTTAAGTGTTAAACATTATTCTTTTTTTTTTGGGGGGGTCCAGTCGTGGGGCCTGAACTCTGGGCCTGGGCACTGTCCCTCAGCTCTTCAGCTCAAGGCTAGCACTCTACCACTTGAGCC